TATATATATAATCTGGGGGTTTTGAAGCTACTCCATCTACAATTAAGTTTAGCTATTAGGAACAGTATATACATGGGATACTTATCTTTCTTATCCACAGAATTCTGTCCTTAAACTAGAGACTTTAAAAAGTATCTCTCACAGAGCTGGAGAGTTAGCTCAGTGGTTAAGAGCACTGGCTGCTCTTGCAGAGGACCTGGGTTCAGTTCCCAACAACCAAATGTGGCTAACAACCTCCTGTAACTCCAGTTCCAGGGGATTGGATACCTGCTTCTGGCCTCTACTGGCATTGCACATGAGTGTACTTCCATACATGGGTACAAAACACTCATAAACATAAAAATAAACAAAACCAAGTAATTAAAAATATCTCTCAGTGGCTTGCAGCTGGAGAAAGGAGTGCTAGTAGAGAGAAAATACTTATCAAGGGGATATTTACTGATACAGGTCACAAAAGGATTGAATTTAAGGCATAGGTGATTAGCCAGTTTTAATAATCCCATTTGTGATGTTTCTCAGAAAGGAAGTATAGTTCTTTTGCAGGTGGCCTAAGCAGTTAAATGGAAATCACTGGGTGTCAACTAGTGAGGGATGGAAATTAGAACTAGGGACCTTTCCCTTCTTATACCCCCTCAATTTTCTAGCTAACTACCTTGCCTCGGAAACCCTGTACTTGGAATTAGACTTAGTAATGAACTTGCTGTCACTTTTCCATGGACGTATTTGAGAAGCAGCAGGTCTGAGTGTTAGAGCTCTGGCATTTCATCCATACAGTGAAGCAAAAGCAGCTCTCTGCCCAGGTGAGGTGAGCCTTTCTGATGGCCTGGACAGGTAAGCTCAGGGTTCCTAGCAGCTCCAGAATGACCCTTGGGCACCGTGATGGGGCTGGCAGTGACTTCTGCACATTCCTCATGGCATCGGGTTTGCCTGCTTGGAGCTGTGTCACAGCTTCTCTTGACTACCTTCTTCACACAGTCATGGGGACATTTTCAAAGTCAGTTCTGCTGGCCTTTGAAAGCATTCAAGATTGCTGTCAGAATGGAAAAGGTAGACAGACTTCCAGTGTAGTTTCTAGGACCCTCTCTAAACAGTGATTTAGCCCCTGCACAGAGAGAGCCTTCTCCATGCCCTCCTTGCCTGATCTCCTTGGTCTAGGGAGCCACTGACAGCATGCCTGGAGCACAGAGTCACCTTGAGAAATCAGAGAAATCGGTGAGCTTTTCATTTGTGGATGAAACCCTGGGTTCTTGCAGTTTCATTGATCCACCTTACATGTGTGGTGCTGCCATGAAACTCAGATCAGACATGCGGAAAATCCAAATGTTTGTCCTCCTCTGGGAAAGAAAGGGCAATTCTCTTGTTTTCTAAATAGTCTACAGATAAACAAATCTAGTGATATGGTACATGAAGGAAAAGCATTTTCTACAATAAGGGCAGTTTTCCTCAGCGGTTCTAGAAGCCCATGTTGTAAACAGTGTCATACATAGTTATGAGCTCTGGCGCATTAGCTCATGGGGGAGAAGGGAAGGAGATGAAACTTTTGGCTCAGTTAAGGAAGCATAAAAATATTGTGGACAGACTCCAACTTTGTGTTCCTGGCAAGGTTGACTCATTAGAACAAAACAAGACCTGAAAATGCAGTTGTTTTGTTTCTCTGGAGGTCTTGGTGACATTGCAACCAAAACAAAAACAAGCTCAACTGGAAGCAAGTTGCCTGGCCCCAGAGTGGCCTCTTCTCTCATTAAAGAGGGGATTTTTTTTCATGCCAGACCAGACACAGCTGAGATTTCTGTTGGCCAGACATGCTGACACATCATTCACTTCCTTCCTGAAGTGTTCCAGAAGAGCATTCATTGATGAGGCCTCTCTGAGAAACTCAGGCCTTGACTCCTGCCTCTCAGCAGGGCTAGTACACAGGTGGATGTTAGTACAGTGTGGGGGATAGGAAATATGGGCTCATACACATATGTGACTGTGCATGGGTAGGGAGAACCAGTGAGAATCAGATGTTGGTAGTTGTAATGACATAGGACTCTGTGAATTCATTTGTTCCCAGAGCCTTCCCCAGGCTGAAATGTGATGCCTTAACCACCCAAATTTTTGAACTTCAAGCAATTGCTAAAATGACTCATCAAATTGCTACTTTCTGACTCCTCTTCCCCGAGGCTTTTACTTTTTGTCTTGCAGTTGCCTCCTTTGACCCCTTGATTTCCCTTTCTGCTATTTTGTTTGTTCTCTAGAAGTTTTGAAGTAATTTTAATTTGTTTATACACTTGACAGATGCTTATTAAATACCTGTTATGTATCTATTAGATATTATATATCTAGGAAATGTGCTTTCTGTTCTTGACTGGATGATGAAGCCAGGTCATGGCCGGAGCCTTGGTGGCATGCTTCATCGGCTATTCCCCCAGGAATCGCTGACCTCTCCTTGTTGCTCAAGTATCCAGTGGCTCAGAAGCCTGGAAGTCAGGAGAGTGCTAGAAATGTGGATTCTTTGGTCTCCCCCAGCCTCTCAGAGACAGAATCTATACTTTCTCCTTGACCCCAAGAACTTTTGTGCATTGTGAGAAGCCCTGGGTAGAGCACCAGAAATTTTTAAGCAGAGAAGGAATGAGACTTGATAAGTTGTTTTAGGCTCTTGACATAAGAAAGGCCCAAATCAAATTACTTTATTTGCTCTTCTGCTCTCCCATTTCAATGGAGACTGCTGTTACAAGCTACCTCAGAGTTCATGCCTTAAAATGATAACAGTTACATTGACTGTTCAGTTGCTCAGAAATCTGGTAGACATAGCTGGTTTCTCTGCTTCAGAGTCAAAGTCAAGGGTGGCAGGCTCGAACTCTGACTGAGAAACCATTTACAAGCTCATTCAAGTTGTTGCTAGCATTCACTCCCCTGTCCTTGCAGTGTTATTGGCTGATACCTGGGTTGGAGGGCTTCCAAGTGCTTGTGTTACAGAGCAAGAATTGTGCGGAGAAACACTGTTGTAGAAGCATAAACAGTTTATTAAGAAAGTACAATTTGAAGAGGGAGGAAGTGGGCCACAGCAAGAAATTTTAGTAGCTCAAATGAGCTCAGGCTTTTATGTTAACTTAAGGAGGTCTGTTCCACACATTTTCATGGTGTGGGCTTTTGGGCACATTTGCATAACACAGGTTTTTTTTTTTCACTCATGCTCTTTTACTTGTAGTTGTACATAGAACTTCATATATTGCAGGTCTTCTCAGCGTCTTAAATCTCCACCTAAGGATATGTGTTTTAGTACCATAATGAACCATAGGTTACTCTTCAGTGCCTCTGTGCCTATGCCTGTGGTGCCAGCCATTTTAGTAAGTCTCAGCCCGGGGAGTTTCTAGCCTTCCTCTTTGCCAACTTGGTTTTTTCATGTGTTAATTTAGCAAGGCCTTTCAGACCTTCCTCTCTGCCCTGTTTTCTTGCCCCCACTTTCCTCAGAGCTGCAGTCTCAGAAATCTCTTTGTGGGCATTGATAGATGGTTATACATCTTCTATAACTATTTCATTACTGTTGTGGGATGTAGTCCCCCTACCTAAGAGGGACCATGAACTTCCTCCCTCTTCTACCTATCAGTTAGAAAGAAGAATCTGGATCCTTTGTGGTAGGAATTGACTAGAATCCCTGCAACACAAGGAGTTTAGTTTGGAAATGCTACATCCTATTGACACCAAACTAGCATTTCTCTTTGAGTATTAGGCACTTCCTCTAGGGCTGCTGTTAGCATGTCTAGGGCCAGCACATCTAAGACAGTTGTCCTCATCAACTTAGCTTTTGAGTTTAGGAGTGATATATCTGAGTTGTTAAAAAAAATACCATACTGATGGTTACATTTTGAGAATGTGGCAAAATACAAAAGAATAGTTCCAGGAAGGAATCCAGTGGTAGAATAGCTTAACAGGAGAATAGTGTGAGGTTGTAATTATTGAGTATATATTACACCAACAGTGCCAAAAGAGAAATGATGAAGAAACCCAAAACAGAAAGCAAGATTACTACTACTGAAGATTTATAGATAGAACTTATCTTTGCATTTAAGAAGTTAAGCTGATCATTGCTGGGTGAGAGAGAGTTGGTTTTCTTTAAGGGAGTGATGCTATATAGGCTGATCATGTAGGTTTCATGGATTGAATTTGGGTTGTAAGAGTTAGAAGCAAACACCTTTACCTGCTGAGCCCACATGGTTGAAGGGGAGAACCAACTCCTGCAAATTGTTCTCTGACCTTCACATGTGCAGTGTGGCACACGCACCACCCTTA